ATTTATTTAAAAAAGTTTTTATTTCCTGTTTAGAAGAGGCGAGATATGTAATTTTTTTGAGGAAATTGGAGGCGTCGAACATGAGGATTGAAGGGGATTTGAGATTAATAGCGAGATTTTTGAATGAGACCTCGTATCGGGTTCGATCTCTATTAAATAATAAATTGTCATAAAGTGTTGGGTTTTTTTTTTGGAAAATTTGAGAAGTCAATCAGTTAGTATTTTGTAAATTCTGAGGAATGTTAATAACTCCCTCCACACATAATGAAACAAAAGCCTTAAAATAAAAAAAGTTAATTAAACAATAAAAGTTCACACATAATTAATTGTCTATTATTTAAAACTTTCAATAATTAAATAATTAATATGTAATAAAATATATTTATGTAAATACTTAAATGTCTTTCCCTCACATTCAATATTGTGCTTTGAACACTGGGAAAATTTAAATAAACGCGCGTAACATACCAACTGATGCCTGGCACAAATTTTTGATGTAAACCCAACATTTTCTTTTTAGCTATAATTTTCCCACTAAAAAGCTTCACTTCTTTTATTTAGAGCTTATAATTTCTTTCCAACATTGCCAGTAACATTTCGGCGCAAAATAAAAAGAAAAAATTATTTATTTTTAAAAATAACGCCGAAATATTTAATATTTTTTGAATTTCCTCAAAAACGTTTCTTGAAAAGAATTTTCCCTCAGGACATTCAAACTTTGACAAACTAATTTTATGAAAATTCTTTTATGAACTCAAAGACCAAAAAATAATTTCTTTTTTAAAAAAATGTTAAAACTGTTAATTTAATTGTTGAATTTATTTTCTATAAATAGTTAAAAAAAGAAAAGAAATTATGTAAATAAAAAAGTTAAAAACTATTAAAAATCTAACAATCTACTACTTATTTTAAGAATTAAATTTTTTATTTATTCTACAGGCAAAAATTTTTAGAATTTTGTAGGCCAAAAAGCAAGGCTTCTTCCTTTTTGGCGCCACAGGCAAAAATTTTATCTATAAAAATAAATTCACGTTTTAGCTTCCAATTGGTGAGAAATTAGAAGTGGAAAAATGTGATAGATTCCTATATCGTTTCAGAGTGAAACGAAATGTAAACATGGGCATGGAAGAACGTAACAAAAAGAAATTTCATTAATCCCTGATCGGGGATCAGATCGGCTAGATCTCTGATATGTATGAGAATAAAAACGGACCAAGTATACGAGTTCTTAAATTTCTAAACAACAAAAAATAGATGGAAGGTTCAGGTTTAATTATTGGATTACAAACATTGTAATTAAGTAAATGGAAGAAATAAAATACCCAGCAGTTTAGTATCTACAACAATTATTTTATTAAATATATATTTCTTAAAAATATTAAATTTGTTCCAAAATTAGTATCTTTTGCCTAGAAAAACTAAAAATTGATATAGTTGAGGGTGGATTTAATTTACAAAAGGAAAAATTAAATTTTTCTAACAAAATGAAGTTTTTACTCTTAAAGTTTCTTTAAAATTATTTGGAAAAAAAATAATTCAAAATGCAATATGAGAACAATTTAAAAATATTTAAAAAATTAATTGGTTTTAATTTAAAATTATTTGTAAAATAAAAATAAATTTCGATTAAAATATTTATTCTTAAATTGTTTTTGGCTTAATAAAATTTCTATAAAAATTATATTTAAAATTAAAAAAATAAATTGAATGTACATAAATTGTTATATTCTTTTTACCAAAGTCCCGAATTACTTAAATTTAATTAAGTGCTTTTTATAAGTATTTAGTATATACTAAATATATTTATTTATTTGTACTTTTATTTTTTATAAAAACTAAACAAATAATGTTAAAAAAATTTATAATTAAATATAATCCTTAAATTAAAAGGATAATTAAATAAAATTTAATTAATTTCATAAATTATAAAATAGAGTCATTTAAATAAAATGAAAATCTGGTAAATTTAAAAAATATTAATCTATTTTGTGGGTAAAAATACTTATGTTTTTTGAGAAAATAATAAAATGTGTGTGGTAAAACATAATTATTTTAGTCTGGTTGGTTGGCTTTTGATGTTTTAAAAGTGTCAGTTGTTTATAAAAATTTTCATTTAAGAAAAGTTTGTGGGAAAATTAAAAAAAATTTTTTTGAGTAAAATTATAAAAAAATATATTAATTGTGGGAAATTAGAGATTTTTAATTAAAATATTTAAAATAACAAATAAGAAATTATTATAAATAAATTAATATAAATTTACTGATTAATATAAATTACTTATAAATTTATTTTTCTAATAAAACAATTGTGATTATATTAGAGAATGTGGTTCAAATAAAAACTGTTTTTTAAATTTTCAATCGAGTATCAATATCTCCTATTATATTAAGAATGAATGTCTATAATTCAATAAAGACTGATTTTCGGCTTCAAATATATCCGATTAATAAGTAGTAGTTTATGTCCATACATTTTTGATAAACTTTTCGGCGTACTCGATGATTTTTTTACTCAACGAATATGCTATTGCTTGTAAGAGTTATTCTGAAACAAAAACTTTGTTGATTTCTAAATCAGAAGACATCATTGGTGAAAAGAATTAATTCCCCTATTTAGAAGGTTGAGAGATTATGTGGTTATATTTAGTAACTAGGGGCCGGACCGAGACGAGTCTTGAACGAAATCTCGGTTAATAAGATCGATCCTCGTACAACACTCCAGTCCATCCCTATTGTAAAAGTGAAAGGTTTTCCAAAAAAACCTGTCCATCATCGATACTCCCTTAATTTATTTTGTTAATTTTTCTAAAAAAATTTATTTTAGTTATTACTTAAATAAACTTTTTATTTTATTTGTTTGCACAACAATAAGTATATATTTATTTGTTTTGTTTTTCACAGTAAATGATGATTATAAAAATATATTTATTTATTTATTTTACTTATTTTTTTTTATTTTCCTCTTTCAAAAATCGCGCTCTTCTTTTTTTATTTTTTAAAGGTTTTAGAGGTTAGGGACTTTTTTCAGTTTAGTTTTTTTTCTTTCTTTTCTTCAAAACTATTTTAGTTTTGGAGAAAATTATCTACTAATTTTCAAAAAATAAATATATAATATACCTATCTTAACAATTATTTAAAAATCTGATATCTTAACTAAAAAGAAATATTCTCCCGCAATTTTAAAGAAAAACAAACTTCCTATAATTTAGGTATTTATTTTAGGAAAATAAAATCACTAAAATACAACTTCCAAATTTTTAAAACACAACTTCCAATTCAAAGCATAATCTATTTAATTTAATTATCACAAAAGAATTATTTTAAAAATTAAATTATTATTTAGAAAATTTGGGGGATTTATTTATGTAAAAAAAGAAACAAAATATAAAATGAAAATAATAGAAATTTAAAACCCTTAAAATACAAAAGAAAATTATTTTATAAAAATTTTTTCAAATATAAGAAAATGAAATTCGAACTTTGTTATATTCTAAAATTATTTTTTTATTAAAAAATTAATTTTGCTACTTGAAAAGTAACAAACATAAAGTTTTTTTTATTTAAATATAAAATTAATTTTAATTCATTTTTCTAATTAAAAAAGAACAAGTTTTATTTTTAAATCTCCTCCTTTTCAAAATTTTTTTCATTTTCCCAATTTTCTTTCCAAATTTGTTTAATTTAAATTTTACAAAAAATACTCTTTTTCAATTTTTCTCTCCTTTTTGACATCCTTCAATAAATTCACTATCATTTTTACTCATCATTTCATGCGCGAGACTAATCCCCTCGTCCTCAATATATTTATTTATGCAAAAAATAAGAGAAAAATAAATAAAAATAATTTTTTAGATATTTTTTTACATAAATAAATAATTATTTTTACATTATTTTTGCTTTAAAATAAAATAAATAAATTATTTATTTATCAAAATATCATTATATATTTTATTTACTTAATCATTAAATATTTATTTTTCACTTAACTTTCAATCCCTTGATATCTAAAAAACACAATAAATTATTATGGTTTCTCTAATTTTTTCAGATAAATATACATACTATTTATTTTATTCTTAATTTATTGGGGCATGGATTGCCAGATCAGGAAAGATTTCCCTCCAATAAATATATTATAAAATACATTTTCACAAAAATTCTAATTATTATTTTAAAAAATACTTTCCCTCAAAAATACCCCCCTCCAAATTCCGATTTATTTTTTAATAAATTTTAAAAAGTTATTAATTTTTTTTGGAATTTTTATTGATAAATATAAATAATGCGCGAATAAATATATAAAAATATATATTTTTTATCGCCCAATTTTCAAAGGCCAATTATTTTCTCGTTTTTTTATTTTTTATTTAAATATTCCCGTTATTTTGCCAAAAATAAAATTATTATTTTTTTTTATTTACCTATTCTTTTTTTTAAAAATAGAAAGAATTATTTTTTAAATAAATTATAAAATAAATAAAATTATTATTTTTTAATTATTAAAGATGATAGAAAAATAATTTTATTTTTATTATAGTATTAGAAACAAAAATATAATTAAAAACTCCAACTAAAAATGCAACGAAATTTTATGTGGTTTCAACTTGATGGTTTGTTGATTAATCTAAAAAATTTCTCAGAAAAATATTTTTTAGATTTTTTTCTAAAATTAATTTTTAAAAAATTAATTTAAATTTTTCTTTGTTAAAAAACACAAAAGAAAATAATTTTTAATGATTTTCTCAATCGACCTAAAAAAATTAAAAGGGCTCCAAAATTTACATTCGTCGTAAATAAAAACAAGATCCGTGCCAAAGATAAAAATAATTTTAAAGAAGAAGATACCTGTATTTAAATTAAATAAATATTTAATTTAAAAGAATTTTTAAAGTAATTTTTAAGGAATTTATTTAAAATTCCTTAAAAGGATTTTAAAAAAAATTTTGAATAATTTATTTCCCTTGACCGGTATTTTGGGGTTATTCAATAATTTTCAAAAAATGTTAAATAAGCAACAATCAATATATTTAATTTCTCCAAATTGTTCTTCAAAAAACCAACAAATTTTTGCAGATTTGGCACTTAAATTGTTGTTACTTGGATTAGCTTTAGTTTTGAGTATTTTGATTGTAACACTTTTGGTTTTGTTATTTATTTGTAAAAGAAAACAGAAAAGGCAAAAAAGAAGATTAGAAAATCAAACTGAGGAAGGGAAAAAGGTGAGAAATAAATTCTAAAAACAAAATAAATTATAATTTTTTGACATATAAAATTAAAAAATAAAGTTTGTTACAAAATAATATAATTATTGTCTAAAATAAACTAATAAATTTTTTTGTCTTTAATTAAATTATTTTGTTTTGTTTAAAAAATACCATTTCAATTAACTTCTTCCTATTTTTTAAATTAAGCAACCCAATTTTGGAGATAATTTTAAAAGCGAATCATTCATTGTTGTCGGCCAGAAATTAACAAAATGTTCACAGCAAAATGGGTTTTCTGCTACTGTTAGTTATTTTTAAGTATTTTTGATTATTCTTCCCCAAAAAAAATTGAGAAAACTAGTATAATTGGAGGAGAATATTTTACATTTATTATATAGTTATTTTAAATTAATTAAAAAAATTACTTTTAAAGTTTTCCCAACCTAAACAACAAAATTTAAATAAAGAAATTGAAAATTCACCAAAAACTCCCTCCCCATTGAATGCTTCAGAATATTTAGATTTGGAGGAAGAGAGAAGAAATGGTCCTAAAAGCATTATTCGTTTTGAAAATTGTGGATATAATTTGAAAGTAATAATTATGAAAATAAATTTATAAAATTTTTGAGTTCTATCAAAATCAGAATAAAAAAATTAATTAATAAATTAACTAAAATAGAATTTTTAGACTTCCAAACAAAAACGAAATTCCAACAACCGAAAAGACAGTATTAGACCATCAATCACGACTTCTTCCTTTGTAAATACAAATGGAGCATTAAAAATAACCGTAAATGACGATAGTGGTTATGAAGATTCTACTTTAGATTTAAATGATTTTAAATTAATTAATAAAGAAAGTCCTCTTCAAATGAGAAGATTCCAAACAAACACAATGGAAAAAGTTTTAGAAAATGAAAATGAAAAGATTTATGGAGAATTTGAAGTAGTAAAATATTTTAAAAATTATTTAAAAATTAATTTTTTAGTGTCTTGGACAGCAAACTATGTCCACGTTAAGGCCTCGTTCAACAACTGCAGAATTACCTGAAAATATTAGAAAAAATCGTTTTTATGATATTTTGCCTTGTATTATAATTAAATATTTTAAAATAATTAAATTTAATTTAACTTTTAATTAGTTGAATTTAATCGAGTAAAACTTAAATGGGCAAATAATGCTTATGGAGGTACTAACGGATGTAGTGATTATATTAATGCCAGTTATATTAAAGTAAAAAAATTTTTTAAAAGAAAATTAATTTTTAAAAAATTTAAAGACAGAAGAAAGCAAAATTAATTTAACAATTCCTCCAAAATATATTGCTGCTCAAGGACCGATTGGTCAATCAGAAGCTGTGGATGGAAGAAGAGTGGAAACTGTAAAAGATTTTTGGGAAATGATTTGGCAAGAAAATATTAATTGTATAGTTATGTTAACACAATTATCTGAAGGTGTTAAGGTATGTTTAGACAAATGATAGGTATCTCATTAATTGTGTAGAGTGTGGGATAACGGAAAAATACCAAAATATATTAAATAAATTTATTTATTAAAAATTAATTTTAAAGCAAAAATGTGCTCAATATTGGCCAGAATGCCCTGGAGAATCAGAACAATTTGGAAATGATTTTACTGTTCAATTTTATTGTGTTACAGAGGATGATATTTGTATAAAACGAGAACTTTGGTTACACAGGAAAGGAGAAAAAGACAGAAAAGTAAAAGAAAATATAGTTCAATCCCAATAATACGACACCTCCATAACACGTCCTTTTATTCATAAGTTAGCTAAAATCGGGTGACGTATTAGGTGGATTCCATGGGGTAAATAAAAATATTTTTTAATCCAAGTTATTCCAATGGCATTTCAAAGAATGGAGAGACGCCTCAAGCCCGACAGATGTTGAAAATCTTTTAGCCTTTATTGAAGCAATTAGAGAATCTGAAAGGAAAAAGCCTATATTAGTGCATTGCAGGTACATAAATTTTATTATTTAAATTAACTTAAAATTAAATACATATATTTAAAGTGCTGGAGTAGGAAGAACGGGTGTTTATATTGCTTTGGATATTTTATTAGATAAATTGGAAAAGGTAAAGAATTTTAAATTAAGGAAATGTTGGAAATGACAAAAGTTAAATAAAATAAATATATTTACCTGCTTAAGGAACAATTAATTGATGTAAAAGAAACTGTCAGCAGATTACGTTCACAGAGGATAAGTATGGTAAATAATGCAGAACAATATGTTGCCCTATACGAGGCTATTGCTTTTGCTATTAGGAAAAAGTCCAGGTGGTATAGTTATTTTATAGTTGGGGATAAAAATATTTAATTTTAAGATCAAATGGTTGATTTTACTTTAAAACAAATTTTGTAATTTTATTTGAGAGGAAATATTTTTGAAATTAAAAATGTCTGATACATTTTATTTTATATGTACTAGTAGAGTTCGAACTTTTCAAAATGCCGGGCCCGGGACCCGGTTTTTTTTTCTCAAAGTTGCACCCGGGCCGGTTTTTCCGGATAAAACCGGAAAAACCGGTTAGCCCGGAAAAACCGGATTTTTTCAGACCCGGGCCCGGACCCGGTTTTTTCTAAATTTATTAAAAACATAAAAAAATTATCACACATACAAAACATCGGAAAACATACAAAGGATCGATTAAAAAATAGATGAATCAAAGGATAGATGCGCTAAAGGATAGATAGCAGGGATGTCCGAAAGTGAAAAAAATTTTCCGCAGCCGAAATTTGAATTTTAAAATCCGCAGTCCGTAATCCGCAATTTTTGAAATAATTTGTATTCTAAGAAAATAAGTGGACTTGAAGTATTTGGGAAGCCTCCATATGATTTGGAGGGATATAGAAGATTATGAATTTGAAGGGATTCATAGTAATTCCAAATATAATATCCCCCTTAATCCTTCGATTTCCTCTTCAAATCCTACTTTTCACTTAAATCCACTGATGGTGATTAATAGGGATATCGAGAGAATTTGAGTTAATCCTCCGATATCAATAAAAATCCCTTTTATTCTTTTCAAGCGCCGCAAGCGAAAATTTTGAGAATTTTGAAAAGCCAACAAGTCGGATTTTTTCCTTTTTTACCGCCGGAGGCGGAAATTTTGAGAATTTGTGTGGACTAGGAGCAAGATTTAGATTACAAGAGCTAGATTTCTTCTTTTTTAACGTCGCAGGCGAAAATTTTGAGAATTTTGGAAGGCCAAAGAGCTAGATTTCTTCTTTTTTCAGCGCCGCAGGCGAAAATTTTGAGAATTTTGGAAGGCCAAGAGGCCAGATTTCTTCTATCTTCACCGTCGGAGGCGACTCTCCGGGCCCGGCAAAAAATTACCGGGCCCGGGACCCGGTTTTTTTACTCAAAATCGCACCCGGGCCGGTTTTTCCGGATAAAACCGGAAAAACCGGTTAGCCCGGAAAAACCGGATTTTCTCAAAAATACCCGGTTCCGGGCCACCGGGCCCGGAAAAAACCGGTCCGGGCCCGGCCCGAATTCGAACTCTATGTACTAGTATACATATATTTATTTTTTAGAGATCTGATAAATAAATTAAATAATTAATTAAATAATTTCAAAGTTTTAATTAGATATTTTTTGGGTTTTCTGATCTCAAGTTTTGATTATTTTTTAAAATAATTAATAATAATCTAAATAAATAAATATATGTAGTATGTTTTTATTTTTAGAAAAATTAAAATCTCTTTGAATTATGTATAATTCTCTAATTAAAACCCTGGGCGTTTATTTTTCAATGGGTCAATTTGGGTAAACTTGTATTAGATATGGGCTTCTAATAGAGCCAGGCTTTAATTAGAGCATTTACTTTATTGTTTTTATTCATTTTTTTATCATAATTTTGCATTTTAATTTTATTTTTTTAATAATCCAATAAATTATAAATGTAAATATTTATTTTATATTTTTAATTCTACCAAAAGATTCATTTATTTTCAATCACAAATGTTATATTAAATAATAAATTTGTAAATTTTACATTTTTGATATTAAAAAATATGATTAATACATATTTAAAGAAATTGTTAACATTAAAAATAAATTTTTTCCAAACAAATAAATTATTTAAATATTAAAAATATAATAATTCTATTTGTTAATTCTGTAATTATTTAAAAATATTCTTTTTTACAAATATATTTAATAAATATTTTCTATTAATTTTAATATTTTATTTTAATAAAAAATAGATTTAAAAATATTATTTTAAATTAATTATCATTTATTAAATAAAAAAATAAATATGTATGTCTAATAAGAAATCATCCAATAATAAAAAATCTCATCATCTTTTCTGTTAACAAAAAATTGTTGCAGGGAAATTATCGGATTTAAATATCATAATTTGAAATACTTATAAAAATAAATTTAATTAATAATATATTAAAAATAACAAATTACTTATTCCCAAAAATAAATTATTTAAATATAAAAACAAAAAAGTAATTTTTATTTTAATTTTATTAAAAGTTATAATTATTTATTCAAGTAAAAAGACATTTAAAAATAAAATTTTAATTTTAGTTACATATAATTAACGGTATTTATTTATTTCGGCCCACTGTGTTTATGAAGACTATTATGGCTGCAAAGAAGATAAAATATAGTGAAATAATTTTAAATATTTATTTTCAATTAATTTTTAAAATAAAAAAGTTTAAAAAAATTAATAATTAAAAAAAAACTTTAAATTTAACCAATTGATAAATAAAAGTAACTTATATTCAATCAAATTTCAAATATTATTTGATGAAAATACAGAAAAAATTTTGTAATATAAGATTATTTTCTGTTGAATATTAACCAAAACATTGAAAATACATATAATTTTCTGCCATTATTTTAACGGCAGATTTTAAATTTATATTTTTTAAAAATTAAAAATAAAATCAATCGCAAAATGTTTTGTTTTGTCGGCAGCACATTGTATCATTATTTTGAAATTATTTAATTTTTAAAAATATCTATAAAAATAAATATAGTATATATAATTGATATATTTTTATATACAATAAAAATAATTATTTTATTTTACCTGATCTAAAAAAATATTTAATGCTCACTGACACATATGAGATAAATGTTTGAGATTAAAGCATATATACTTTATTAATTTTTAAATAAATTTAGAATATTAAATATATTTAAATAAAAACATCTCGAAACGAAACTTAGACCGATTAAATTAACATTATGGATCTAAACAGTTAGTTAATTGTAATTGTATTTTGTATATACTATATAGATAAATTTAAAACATTTTTTGAAAATTAAAAAATTTAATTAAATATTTTATAATTTTTAAATAAATTAATTAAATGATATTTTTCATTAAAAATTCCAACAATTTATTAAAAATAATTAACTTTTATTTTAAAACATCTTGTTGCGATCCAATTAGCAAAAAAAGGATGCAATGCGGCAACGAATTTAGACATTTTATTAAGAATATATTTTAATTTTATATTAAAAATAGAATATAAATAACGATTTATTTAATAAAGTTATATCAAACAGCCTAAATTGTAAGTATATACCAACGGATCCTCAGGCTCTTTGGATAAATATAAAACATAAAGGTTAATTTATAGTAAAATTTGAGAAAAATATTTGAAATATAATTTTCAAATAATAACCCAGCAACCAATAAAAAACACGTAATTAAGATACACAAAATCATCTCTACAACTAATGACGTTAACTAAAAGTTAATCAAAAATAATGTTGATATTTTTAATTTTATTTTATTTAAAATGTATTTAAATACTGAAAATAAAAATTTTGAATTATTAATTAATTATTAGAATAACAATTCAAAAAATTTGATTTTTTAAATAATTGTTTAACAAAATAATTAATTATCTTTGATATTCAATGCCACTGTACAATCAATCTGCATTGTAACATTAATAAAAATATAATATATATTTACTAATTTTATATTTTAAGAGAAAGTTTAAAAATTATTTCTAAATAAATTAAATTAAATATAATTAAATAAAATATGTTTTTGATTTATTTTTTAGAAGATAATGAATAAATGATTAAATTTATTAATTAAATTTAAATAATAGTAGGATAAATATTTTTTAAATAATTTAAATATTTTACTCCAAATTATTAATTGATTAAAAAAATTCTTAAATATAATTTTAAACATCTTAAAAACAATAGCTATACAATAAGAGATTGATAATTACAGCAAGCCATTGTCTCTTATTTTGTTTTTTGATTGAAAAATAAAAAATATTTCTAAAATTTTTAAAACAAATTTAAGTATATATTAAACAATTAATAAATAAATGTAATTTATATAATTAGATAAATTTAAAACATTTTTTTGTAAATATAAAGAGATTTATTAATTAAAATATTTTATGTTTGAATTTTATAATTTAATTTAAAGTTATTCCGCCAATTCATTGAAATAAAATAATTAGCAGTATTAAGTAATTTGAAAAATCAATCGCCCAACGTTTCATAATATCAGCCTCACATTGTATCTTTTGAAGATATTTAAATTTTAAAGATATTAATAAATATATTAAATATGTAGTATACTTATTTTTCTTTATTAAAAATTAAAGAAAATTTTTTATTTAAATTTTAATTATTTTCTTGTTGAAATATACTAATTATAAATAAATTTGGAATATTAAATGTATTATTAATTAAATGAAAACAAGTCTTAACAGAAAAACAATTAAAATAAACACTCGAGTAAGACAATTAGTAAATAATTTGAATTTATATTTAAGTAAAGTTCAAGCATTTTTTTAAAAATATAGAAAAAATATATAAATCGAATATTTTATAATTTAATTAAAAATTATTTTCATTAAAAATTTCACGAATTTATTGAAATAATTAACATACTAGAACTGTCAGCGAAAGTTTGCAACATAACAATATTTTTAATTAATTATTTTAATTATTTAAAAATATATTAAAAGTATAAATTAAAAATAGAATTTTAACCTAATATTAAATTATTTCTTTAACTTTTAATTATTTCAAGAACCTAAATTGTAAAAAAATATTCAACACATTGTAGAGGTTTTTTACTAAATAAATAAAAAATAAAAGTAAATTTAACAAAAATTTTTTAACATTTAAATAAAATTTGGAAAAAAATATTTCTAATAATTTAAAAATAATAAACGTGAAACGTGAAGAAAAAAAGATTCGATTGTAACATGATAACTTTAACATGCGATGATAACATTACATAAATACTATGTTAATTTAGATTTAAAAATTATTAAAATAAAATATCAAAAAAAATAAATTTAAAATTAAATATTAATTAAATAAATATAAAAAAGATTATTTTAAATATTTAAAAATAATTAATTAATTAATTATAATTATAATATAAAATTTCACAAAACATATAAGTATGTGATAACCGCTGAACATTGCATCGTGTTCTTCAGTTGTTATGCTGTCAAATATAAAATAAATATTAAAATAATCTTTATCATAAAAATATTTTAATTTATAAATTTATAAAATTAAATATTAATTAAATAAATATAAAATATGTAAATTATTTGAAATATTCAAAAATAGTTAATTAATTATAATTAATATAAAATTACCCAAAGTTATACTAACATCTGCACATTGCGTATTCTACGATTATTATCGTGTCAAATATAAAATAAATATTAAAATAATTTTTATTATAAAAATTTTTTAAGTTTCCTTATCTAATTATATTCCAAAAATATCCTTACTTAATTTAATTCAGAATAATTAAATCTAAATAAAACAAATTAAAACAATTTAACACAAATAACCTTTTATTTTCAAAATATTACTTTTATGATAAAAAATATAAATTAAATTACTCAAAAAAGAACACTGTGAAATACATAATTTTTTCTACATTTTTAAATGTAAAAAAAGCGATAAAGATGGTAGAATAAACATAAATATCCAAAAAATAGAGAGTATTAACTGAATAATAGAATAAAAATTAAACAGAAATCCATAAGAAATCCATAGGTATAATAAAAATATCTTGTTGATTTTTTTAATTTACCTACTATAGTATCTGAATTTATGAGTATTTTTCAATTGTCACTCATCAATTTAAAAAAAATTAGTGTATATAAAAGCCTAATAAAATTAATCAATCTTTCATTGAAAATATCCATATGCCCAAAACAATGTGTGCCATCTTCGCTTCGTCTTTTCCTGTGCCTGGAGCCGTATCGTCAATCATCTGCATCATATTTCTAATTTACAGTGGTGCTACCATCTTATTTTGCTGCAAAAAATCAAAGGCGCAAAAGAAAAGGGTTTGTTCTAATTTTGGGGAAGATCTCGCTAAAAATCGTTCTGGATTGATGGGGGATCCCTAGGTTTTGATTCTGATATTTTGAAGCAATATTCTAATCTTCTAAATTCATTTTAACTTCAACCCCTCCTCTCCCCTCACAATGACTGTTTCTAATCATACTTAATTTCAATTTTTAATTTTCAGAAAAATAAGGCAAACAAGGACTCAAGGATGTCAAGAGCTTCGAAGAAGTCACATAATTGTGAGTTTTTGCGAGAAATTTCAGAAAAAAATTTTTCCAAAAATTTTCAGCTTTCGAGGAAAAACGACGTAAAAGTGGAAAATATGGAGGCGGTGATGATTACCAATCGTTGGCAGGGCTAGATGGGGATATGTTTGTGAAAGGTGGAGCTAATAAACGCATTGATTCTCCTGCTAGAGGCAGACGCGGGGTATGGTGATTATCTGAAAATACAAAAAATTTTTTATTTTTTAGAAAGCTGCGGAGAGGAGAGCTAAGAAAATTGTAAGAGAGCTTAAATTTTATAAGTAAAATTTCTATTCAATTTCTTTTAGAAACAGCGGCGAGGTGGAGAGTGTCAAGACGATATTGAGGAGGTAATTTAATTTTTTAGATGGTTAATCTAAATGTGCATTCCCTTTCTCCCATAACCCCCCCCCCCCCAAAGATCCTTTCAATTAATCATTCAATAATAATTTTTTTCAAAGGATGTCGATGTAATGCCATTCACTCAATCGGATATTAAATTGCCTGGAAAATCGCTCCTATCAAAAGACACTATAAGGTCGAGACAGAGTATTGTGGCATCTACTAAGCAAAGTAAAGTGCAAGATAAAGGAGCTAGTCTATTTATATAAATAAAAGAAAAAGAATGGATGTAAATGTGTAAAATATGTTTTTTTGTTGATCATTTGTAATTGTATTTTTCTTGTTAATATTCTGATGGTTTATTGAATAAAAAAGGATTTTAGTTAATATTCGGTTATCTCCCACCATTTTCTTATCCATTTTCTGAATTCGATCGACTATAACTTTTTTATGGTTGATACAATTCGAATATCATTCGAAAGCTCTCGATAAGCGCTTTTTTTCTTTTTTCCCAATTAGCCATATATGAACTGATAGGGACCTCCTATGAACCTTCTATTTTCGACTAGGAATTTCGGGAAAATCGGAAACGAGATATGGATCTGAAGCTCCAAAAGTGTCATACAATCTCTGAAATTTATGAAAAAATAATTTTTATTACTTAATACTAAACAAGAATAGACACACAAATTTATGATTTAACAATTTTTTTCAATTTTCATTTCCTTCTTTTTGGAGTAACTAATTGCCATTCACCCTCATCAGTATTTTTTAATTTATTTTCAACTTTTAGAATATTTTTAAAAATAATTTAGTACTTTATTTTTATAACAATTCCAACCTTTCTTTGGCTGTTTTGAATTTAAAATAGTAGGACAATCTCTTTTAATTTTTTCTCTCCTCTTTTTCTTTTCATTTATTTTTTGAGGTATTTTATTTTCAATTAATTTTTCTTCATTTACTAATTTTCTTTTATTATTTTCCAAATTTTCTTCTTTCTCAATTTTTATATTTTTTCTAAATTTTTGTATCGGCCTAAATTTATTTTTTAAACGTCCCCAACGAATTATTAAATTTTTTCTTTTTGGCGCTCTTTTCTTCAAATTTTTCTTTTCTTCTCTAAAAATAAATTTAAAAATAAAAATTTTGAAAAATTAGCACCGTGTTGGTTTGTGTAATTTAAGTAAATATTCGGGTACAGGAAAGCCAGCTTGGTGAATTACTGTTGAAATTGGGCGAATTATTGGCATATCCGATTCCTAAATATTTTAGTAAATTAAATTTGATGGTGGGGGGTTTAATTGATATTTGTGAACTCTGAACTTTGACATGCAAGGTGTAATCCTTGAGAAATAAGCAAAAACCCCGCTTAGAAAGAAGGTGCATTTAAGCCGAAGGAAAATAAGGAAAAGCAGCCTAGTTGATGTTCATTCAAACATACTTAGTTCTCTATTAATCAAAGACCTTGTGTCCGGTCGGCCTAGAGCCTGATCACTTCTCGCTTGCGTTTTAAATCTATTGGACGCATCAACTCTTTTTAGTTGGGGTTGGCCCCTCTAATTAACAATTAACTCATTATACGGACCCAAGTCCGAAGACTTTCCCCCAAAAATTCTTTTCAGAAAATTCCTTATTTTTCGAAAAAATTCCAAGAAAAACACCGTAAATAGAGTTATAGCCCTTCCAACACGTCCAGCCCTCCCAGTTCTGCCAATTCGATGAATATAAGAAATAATTGATGTTGGCTAAAATTTAAATATAGTTTTTTTCAAAAAAAGAAAAATCTTTTTCCCTCACCAAATCAAAATTAATAACCAAATTAACATTTTGAAAATCAATTCCACGTCCCATTAATTCTGTACAAATTAATAAATCTATTGAACCAGAACGAAATCTTTCGACTACTAATTGGCACTAATAGAGAAAAGTTTTTATTTATAAAAAAAATTTAAAACAATAAAGTTAACAAAATTAATCTAAAATTTCATCGAAAATTCCTACTAAATGTCAAAAAAACTCAAAAAAATTTTCGGGTGTATTTTGTTACTTAAATATTAACTCCTGAACTTTAATTGCTAAACACTGGAAAAGTGAAGAACATTTGGCCTAACAAATAAGAGAAAATGGGAAGGACACTCTTTCCGGGTATGTCTTCGAATAAACTGTTCGAATCTATGGAACATCTCTTTAAAAATATTTATTAATTCCCCAACAAACATCTCAATTTGATTTTGAAAAAAACTTTCACTCTTTACTTTAAAATACTCCAAAAAATCCATCCCTCACCTCCTTTTCTGACAAATCCCCAGAAATTAATCCAACAAAAATTTTTCCTTCAAAAAAACTTTTTAATTCAGCAAATAATTGTTTTGCTCTGTCTTTACTCTAAAATTTATTTAAATTAATTATTTTCCAAAATTTACTTGTAAAAATATCAAAGCTGGGGGCTCAAAATTTTTTCTCAAAATATCTCTAATTATTTGAACTTTTGCCTGTTCCCAACCAGCAAATACCAATTCTTGTTTAACCAATTCATTTGCACTATTTCTTGGCCCAATACAGACCATCAACATTTCTTTTAATTTTTCTCTACACCAATTCTCTACTTGACAAGAAAATGTTGCCGAGAAAAATCCGTGACGGACATTTGGTCCACAACAAAAATTGAGGATTTTATCGAGCTAAAATTAATTTTCAAAAAAAATTTAAATATTTACTTGTAATTTAAAACAATTTTCTCCCTCAGTTCCTTCAAATATTCTATCACATTCATCAACAATTAACCATTCAAGATTTGACAAAAAATTTGAAGATTTTTCTTTTTCTAATTTTTCCAATAAATAGATTAAACGATTTGGAGTGCAAACGAGTATATTAATTGCTAAGAAAAAAAATATTCTTTTTTTAATTTTTAGACAATTTTTAACTTTTAAAAATAGACAAATATTTTAGCAAATTTAAGTTTCTGGTTTAATTTAATATTTTAGAAGAGAGAAATTTTAGATTTTAATCTTATTAACAAAATTGTTATTTTCTTGATAAAATTTTATTCTACCCTTACAAGGGAACATTTCGAATTGTGACCAAAAATTTTGAAATGAAGAGAAAAATTTCTCTATAATATTATAGAAAAAATGAGGGAAACTCGACTGCTCCGAACGCCGAAAACTTTGAAGCCTATAACTTTTCGAATTCGGGGTCGGAGTCAAAAAAGCCAAAAATTTCCAATAGGTTATCGACCATGCTCTACACGATGGTATAATGTTTATTTCAAAATTTTTGGTCATAGTTCGAAATGTTCCCTTGTTAACTACTTTAAATAACTAATTTTAAATTCCAAAAAAATTAATAATTAAATAAAGATTACCACATTTTTCCAATTTTTTTTCAATTTTAGTAGCAATTTTTGAATTTAAATAAAAACAATTAATATCCAATCCAGAACAAAATTTAACAAAATTTTGGAATGTCTAGAATTTTTAATTAAAAATTTAAAAAAAAACAAAAAAAACCTGAATTGCCAAAATTTTTGTTGGCTCCAAAATTATGGCAGAAAGTATTTTATTAGAATTTTTGGAAGTGTTTTGTTGTTTTTGTTCCAAAATTCGTAAAATTATAGGTATCGCAAAAGCCAATGTTTTTCCAGAACCTAAAAATTAAAATTTAATTTTGAATTGGAAATTGAGTAGAAAAATAAAAAAATTATTTATTTTTTTTTTCTTTAGTAAAATAATTTTTATTAAAAATATAAAAGATGTACCAAATTTGAAAAAATATTTTATCAAAAACTAGAGAGCGAGATTTTCAAAAAACCTTGACGATCCTTGACCATAATTTTAGTTGAGGACCTTGACCTGATTTTTGACCTTGAGTAAAGGAAAAATCAAGGAACACTGAAAAATGCCTTGCTCTGGATCCTTTAAAAATCAAGATCGGGTCCAGATCCAGCTCTCTAACTACACCCTTCCCCCAAAAATTAAAAACAAACCAGTTGGAGCAGTAACAAGTAAATCTCTGTGTTGTAATCCAATAGGAATTCCTTGCATCTGTACAGGCGTTGGGACAGAAAATTCTTTTAAATTTTCAGATAATTTGTCTGGCAATTGAAAATCAGAAAAATTTTCAATTGGATCTGGAATGTTTGTCCCCCAAGTAAATATTCTGTGCTTTTTACGAATTTGACGAATCTTTGAAGAGAAAAAGAAAAAAATTATTTTTAATTGAAAATAAATTAAATTTATTATAAATTTTGATCGAAAAAAAAGTAAAAGAAAGGGTAAATTTTAGTGCCGGGCCGAGTCCGGCGGGATTTTTCCGGAGTCCGGGTCCCAAATCCGGATTTTTTTGGCAATTTCCGGATTAAAACCGGACCGGATTTATCCGGAGAAATCCGGCCGGATCCGGTCCGGCTTTTGATGCAAATCTGGAATCCGGGTCCGGAAAAATGATTCCAGGCCCGTAGCCAGGGGGGGTGGGGGGGGGGGGGGGGGGAATTCCCCCCCCCCCCCCGAAATGGGAAAATGGAAAAAATTTGGGGAAGGGCTGGGGCAAAAAAAGTGAATTTTTTTGGCCTACGGCCTCTGAAATTCAAAAAATTTTCGCCTGCGGCGCTGAAAATCAAATTTTTGGCGCCTGCGGCGCTGAAAATAAAAATTTTTGGCGCCTTCGGCGCCAAAAATTTGGCGCAAAAAAATTCCCCCCCCCCCCCCCCCCCCCGAAAAAAAATCCTGGCTACGGGCCTGAATGATTCTACAGGTCACTAGTAAATTTAAATATATTAAAAGTTAAAAAAAATGAAAAATTAAATTTCAATAAATTTTTGTAGATAAAAATAAATTTAAATAAAAAATTTTCTCTTAATTTAAATAAAAAAACCTTTTCAAACTGTTTCAATTTCTCATCTTCTTCCATTAGTTCCCCATCCTCATTTCCTTTTTCAATTAATTTTCTTCTCTTTTGTTTTATTTTATTTTCATTTTTGTCAAAACTTAAATTAGATCCAGCCAACAATTGAAATTTATAATTTTTATTTTTTGAAGCCATCTAAAATTTTAAAAATTATTTTCAATTTAGGACCTCAAAAAAATTTTTTTTACAAACTTAAAAAAAATTTTGGCAAAATGTTTTTATAAAAAAATTAATTTTTCCTAAAATTTATTTTTTTTCTAAAAATTTTTTTAGAAAATGGAGCCTTTTGTACTTCGTGGATTTCTTTACGAAAATCACTGGCCAATAATGGAATTGTGGACAGAAAAATATTTACGTGATAATTTTGCTAAAAATAAAGGGCCTGTAACTGTACGTTTTGGAAATAGAGAACATGTAGATGGAGAGGTAGGAATTAATTAATTTTTATTTAATGGAAAGGGAGTAAAATTTTTATTTTCTATAAAAGAATTTTTAAAAGAAAAATATTTTGAAAAAAATTAAATTTGCAGAAAAAAATTTTAAATAAAAAAATAAAAAAAAATTTCTTCTATTAAAAATTAAGATTCTTCATGATCATAAAAGTATAAGGCACCAATTTGAAAATTTTTCTGTGATGTTGGATTGGATGCTTGGTCAAAATGAAAAAGAGGTGGATTTTTAATTAATTTATATTAGAACACTTAATTAAAATTTATTTGTAAAATAATTTTAGATTTTTAATTAAAAATTTTTTTCCATTCACAAAATTTTAACGGGTGAGGGGCAAAACCAGGAATTCCAAAACACGGAACGACCAAAATACGGTCCAGAGAAATAATAATTCTTTATAATTTTAAAATATTTTAAATATTATTAAAAGATGATTATTCAAAAATGATAAAATCTATGGGACTGGAGGGAGATGTCACCCCTCACCTCAAATTCGTTTCTCGATTACACCATTGATTTTAAAAGAAAAACCGTAAACTCTCTAATAGAATGGCCGGCCATTCTATTTTTCCCTCAGACGGGCCATTCTATTAAAGGAGCCATTCAACTGGAGGTGGCCATTCTAACAGGGATTTAAGTTCTCTCTACCACTTTTTTTCTCTTATTTTTTTAAATTAAAAAGTTAACATCAACTTCTACAACAGAATCCAAAATTAATTCATCAACTCATTGGGCATATTTTGATTATCGAGATATTTTGGAATTATTGAGTGAAGAGAATGCTTCCCTTGTAGATTGGTCTAAATTAAATATTTTCCCTCCTTCCTCTTCTGATTTAAAAAATTGGAAAGATTCGACTGTTTGGATTGGTTTTAAAAGACTTTTAAAAAATTATTTCCTTTAAAGGAACCCCCGGTGCCTACACTCCCTGTCATTATGATACTTACGGATTTAATTTACACGCCCAAATTTGTGGATATAAACGTTGGCTACTTTTCCCTCCAAAAACTGATTTAAACGCTTCTAGACTTCCTTATGAAGAATCTAGTGTTTTCTCTTCAATTGATCTTATTGGGGCTACAATGAAAGAAGTTGAAGAGGAGAATAATATTCCTTCTCCTTTTGTTGTTATTTGTGAACCTGGAGATTTGTTATTTGTTCCCCAAAAATGGTTAAATTATTTAAAAAGATAATTAAAAATATATCAATACAAAATAATAGGGTTGTTCACTTGGAGTTATTAACCAGTATCCCCCGGTTTTCGGTTTTGAGTTTTAGACAAATCCCAGTTTTATTTTGGGGGAATTTTTAATAAAATCACCCGTTTTCAGAAGTTTTCGGTTCTTTAAATTTTGTAAAATTGTTAATTTTTGGCAAAAATATAGAAATTTTCGGTTTTAAAACCGATCGTAAACAACTGTACAAAATAATTATTTTTAAAAAAATTAAAATAAAATTTTATCAAGACTTTGAAACAATTGTTTTTAGGTTAGGAAATCCCTAAAATAGAGCCCCCCCTCCACCCTCACATTTTGGAGGTTAGTTAAAAAAATCTAGCCCAATGGGACTTTATTTTAAGAAACATATTAGGTAATTCTTCTAATTTTACAAAAATTAATTTAATTAAAAAAAAATTATTTAGGTGGCATTCTGTCCAATGTATTGCCAAAATTAACGATAACACTACAAATACAAAAAATCTAAACAACCAATTATGTATTTCTTTAAATAAATGGTTTCCAACAGAAAATGATTTAATTGAATCAAAAAAGGAAGCTTTACTTAAATTTATGGTGTTTTAAATAATTTAAATTAAAAATAAAAATAATTTTTAGATTTCATTAAATTTAAATTTTGGATTATTAAATTTATCAGAAAATATTTGTTTGACAGAATTAAATTCTTTGGAAAATAAAAATAATTTGGAGGAATTGGCTTTTTTGGTAAATGAGCGGTTAGAAGAAGAAGAAGGGGAAAATAATGTGGAGAAATTTAATTTTAAATTAAATTAAAAATATTTTTTTTAGAATAATTCTCCAAATCCAAAACGTCCAAAATTAATAAATAAAGAAAAATTAGAATTTAATGAAGAATATTTTTTTAATTATTTTTTAAATAATCCATTAAAAGAGAAAATATCAGTTATGGAATGGAATGAAATTTACAAAATGAGAAAAAGTAAAAAAACTTTTTAAAAATTTATTTTTGATTAGAAAACATTATTTTTTAAAGATTTTTATGGAACTTTTTTGTCAACAAAATCCACTCAATTTAACAAAAATTTAAAAGAAAATTTAGTAGATCAATTAAAAATTGAATTGTTTGAGGCTATATCGGCACCTAAAGTTTTGGATATTTTATTAGATGTTTTTATTTCGAGAAGGAGGAAAGACAAATAAAATTAGTAGAAACATTTAAAAAATTGTTTTTTGTTTAAATGCTAAATAAAGTCCGTTAAAAAAATTATACAAGCAAGCCCTTTTCTGGTCTTAAATGTATACTTCATGAATGCAGAATTTCTGGTACACTTATAGCATAGAAAATTGCTTGAATAATTTTGTAACTGACATAATACGTATAAATTTTTAATTTAATTTTTTTGTTCGTTGGATAAGTTAAATATACTAATATTCATAAGTATGTACATATAGGCTGGGATTTACAGTATGCCGTTTCACCCATCCTCCCTTTAATATTGAGCTGTTTTTTTTCCAGTTTTTAGTGTTTGCCTTTTTCTGTATTTCGAAATACATTGTCTTAAATTTCAAAAATCTACGAATGTTCGAGTTGATTGAGTTACGTGTCCAGTGAGAATGAGTCAAGATAGTGTTTACTGATTACACTACTCCTATGAAGAGTTGATGGTAGTTGAGTATTTTTGACAGAAACAGGATGTAAATGCCATCCTTTGAATGTACATGTAACAGTATTAAACTAAGAGCCACATTCAAGTACACGGAGATTTTGCTCTTTTTTGGTTTTGGATACTTGCTGAGATTATTTTTAGGGTGTAAATTACGATCAGCAAAACATTCGAACTTCAAACTAACTCTTTAGATCTCTCATTGTCAGAGACTAAAATTAAATTTAAACAAAAAGACGAGGTATGTATGTTTGAAAGAAACTACCCAAAGTGTCACTCTCCTCAACCTTTATTTGATTTTATTCTCTACCCCTTTTTCTTCCCTTTATTATTTTCTATTTTTCTTGCCTAATGCAACGAAATAAATTTTTTTGCTGTTGGAGAGAGATGTGTTTGTTTGACATAGAAACGGGCGTGCACGAGAGATGTGACTATTAAATATTTTGGAGTGTTGCCACTCGTTTAACACAGCCATCTCTACAAAGAGTTGGGTAGTACATACATACTAAATAGACTTTTTAACCTCCACACATTTTTGTTTAAAGTAAAAATTCTTTAATTTATAGTTTTTTAATAAATCTATGGCTTCAACTTCTAATAATTCTCGCAATTGTCCTAAATATGCAGTAGTACATTTACCTGAAGGAACTAATGTTCTTAATTTCTACCAATTATTGGTAAAGTTTTCAAATTTATTTGTTAAACTAAATCTTTTATCCAATGTATTAGTAAAGAGGCCGAACCCGTGTAAGAAAATTGCAAAAGATGGGTAGAGCCGTAGCTAGATTTTCATCTAACAATGAATTTTTATTTTTATTGTTAGAAAAAATCGATTTTCTGGGATGTGATTTAAGAAATCACATTTTTGTGGGTTTTGTGGGCTTAAAAATTAATCTACATACTAGTTAAAATAATTTAAATTCCATAGAAAGTTTAAATGTCCATTAACTTTCATAGGAAATTTAGAGTTACAGTATCCCAATAATTTTTTTTACTTTCTCCTCAGTTGTCTAATGGGTTTTCTGAAGTTTCTTTTGTAAATGAAATTCGTGAAAATGCTTTTTTGCCTTCAATTATGGGAGGGAATAGTGGTAGTTTAACTTCATCTGGGCACAAAAACGAATTGGCAAATATAAATATTATTCCAACAAATGAAACGACAAATCCAACAATTGAGAAAGTTGTTGATTCTGTAGCAAAAATAAGGTACAAAAAATGAGATAAATTGGATTAAGGGGAGAGATTGATATTTAAATATATAGGGGTTTTTAGGGATCAGTTGAAATAAAATTATTCAAATAAATGTAAGGATGATTCACCTAGGGCATTTAAAAGTAGAGTTCAGCGGTATCGGGATTTCGAGAAAAACCCGGGATCGGGATTTAGGAATGGTGATCCCGATCCCGGATCCCGACACGGGATCGGGATTAGCCGAAATCGGGATTTGGACTGAAGATCCCGATCCCGATCCCGAATCGGGACCTTGATTAGAAAATCGGGATCGGGATTTACTAAAAAAATTTTTTAATTTTTAAATTTTTATTTTCTTCTCATAGACGCATAATTTACTTTACGGTTCAGGGGATTAAGGGGTCATAAGGTAATGGGGGGAATAAATGGGATTGGGCTTCTTCTATTTTAAGCGCCGTAGGCAAAAATTTTGAAAAAGTTGGAAGGCCAACGTGCCAGATTTCCCCCCTTTTAAGCGCCGCATGCCATATTTTTAATTTTGGAAGGCCAAGGGGGATTTTGGAAGGCCAAGGGGGATTTTGGAAGGCCAAGGGGGGCCTTCCAAAATAATGCAGCCCCACCTAAAAATATTGGAGGAAAAATATATCCCAATAATTTTTTAGATGTATTAAGAGAGTTGAGGAAATAAAGTGGGATATCGATGATATTGTGATCATGGAGGAGGAGGGATCATGGGAATATAGGGATGAAATTCATGTAGTAATATTTCTTAAGCCCTCGATCTCTCTTCAAATCTAACTTAATCCTTTTAAATTCACCGATATCCCTCTATACTCCAAATCCACCGATACTCCCCTCAACCCTTCTTGATCCCCCGATATCACACCAAATCACTCAATATTTCGTTAAAGTTGTAATGAAGCTTTGTTCATTTTTACGGCGCCGCAGGCTAAAATTTTGAGAATTTTGGATGGCAAGATGCCAAATTTCTTCCATTTTCTGCGCCGCAGGCGAAAATTTTTCTTACTTTCATGCCTCCCCTCTTCTGTTAACTTTATTTTGGAGACTTCTAGTCAATTTATAAAGTCGGGATTTTCATCGGGATCTGATGCACATCCCGATCCCGATCCCGGATCCCGGCTCGGGATTGAGATTGGCCGGGATCGGGATCGGGATATATATTTCGGGAGCGGGATCAGAAAAATCGGGATCGGGATTTGAAAAACCCGGGATAATCCCGCCCGATCCCGACCGGGATCCCGATCCCGCTGAACTCTATTTAAAAGCTCACAATCAGTGGTAGTGCTTCTGTATGTGGTGAGCGAAAGTGCCTAGCGATAACTACGAGGAGGTTGCAGGTTCGAATCCTGCCCGGTGGCTAAACTTTTGACAAACTCTTTCTTAAAATTCATAACTTAAAAAATATTCTTGGAAGTCAAAAAAGCACCTATATACAAAAACATTTAAGTAATCCAACATTTACTATTTCTTCATCTCCAATTCCACAAATAACAATAAATAATGGACAACAACAAAAAGAAAAAACATTAAAAGAAGTAGCTTTAATTAAAATGTTTGGAGAAAGAAATTTATTAAATGAAAATCAACAACAAAATGTTTTAATTAAAACAAAAACAAATAATATCCAAACAATTTGTGGGATAAAGAAAAATAATGTTTTGCCGTTAATTAATGATAATAATGCAAATTCTGTTGATTTTTATTCTGTTTGTGCTTTATGCAAAAGCAGACTTTTGTGAGTGGATTCTTTTAAAAGAAAAATATTTTTGAGAAAAAATTTACCGTAAATGCCGAAATAATGTACCTCTCTCAAATAATTACCCCCGCCCAATTAATTACTCCCTACAACTAGAGATCGAAAACCCTTCTTAAAAATAGTTATAATTGAGAGAGCTTTGTAGCCTGTTTCTTAAATATATTTAATTAATTTCTCAGATCTACCCGTCTTAGCAATCTTGTAAATCACGTTCGTCGACATGCTACAATAAAACAATATAGGTGTAAAGTTTGTAATTATGAACATATAGAAATGGGAAAAGTTCGTTTACATATGTTAAAAGCACACAAAGATTCAAGTTCTCCTGTGGATAGATTAAATTTTGAAATGCAGCTTGAATGGGGAATGTTGATGGAGAAATGTTTTCCAGAACATGCTAAGGTAAAAGAAGGGAAAGTGTTAAGAATGAATCTATTATATATCTTGTAACATACCTATACCTCTGGCGCAGTCTTAATGTTTACCTATTCTAGTGCCAAAGCATTAATGTCATACTTTTTCTTAAAAATTACTCCCGCGTGAGAGATTCCTCAAAATTAACGTCGAAAAAAGCTTTTATTCGTTGCGGAGGAAGCCGGACATAGGGGAAGTGGGGGAAGCCGGGCTATTGTGTAACGTAGATCCTCCTGCCTATCCTCCTCCATAACAGCACATAAAAATTAGTTTTTCGTATTCAATTTTAACTATTATTTTTAGAGATTTGGATTAACATCAACAGCTACTTCTTCTCCTCGGAATTTAGAAAATATCCAAAAATTTATTGACGTAAATACAAATTATACTTGTACTGTTTGTGGTGAATTAGTGATTGGAAGTCAATTAATTAATCATATAGAGGATATTCACAATTCTGAATGTATTGACTTTATTTGTGGGGAATGTGGATATGAAAATGAATCCAAAAATAATTTAATTTTTCATATAAAGTAAATTAAATAAATATTTTTAAATAAATATTTAAATTTATTTTAAAGTTCCCAACATAAAGAGAAGGCAACCAAAGTTGTTTTGGAACAAAAGAAAACTACAAGGAATTTTGTGCATTTTTTAAAGAAATTTTTTGCAAATGTTGGTTTATATTTGAAATTAAATTAATTTTTAATTTAATTTTTAAAGGTTAATTTGCCTAATCGAGAAGAGGGTAATTCAAAATATTTGTTAGAACCTCAAGAAATTGGTGAAGGGAAGGAAAAGGAAATTAAATTGGAAGGGGAATTAATTAATTTAAGTGAAGATGAAGAAGAATTAAAATTGGAATTGGAAGATAATTTTGATAATTATTTGGAAGGAGAGGAGGGGGAAGGGGGAGATGGAGGAGAGGAAGGAGGAAAGAGAAAAGAAGAAAATAATAATTTAAATATTTTGGAATGTTGTTCTAATTTAATTTTAAATGAACAAAATAATGAGGTAAAAAATAAATAAAAATAATTATTTATTTAAAATTAAAATTTAAACAGAAAATTCTTTCAAATGAAATTAAACAAGAACAAATGGATGAAGAGGACGAAGAAAAAGAGATTATGATGACACATTCACCGCCTAAAAAACTTAGAAAAGAACAACAAAACGTTACTTTACGTCAAAGTAATAGAGTTTTATTAAAGCTACAACAAAATGAGAAAAAATAAAAGTTTTTGAATTAAAAAAATAAATAAATATATTTATTTGGAAATGTTTTTAAATTATGTTAAAAATAAAAGAATATTCTTTATTTTAAAATAAAGACTTGTTACTATTTTATGGGTAACTATTGTCTTGTTTTTATAAAATTAGATTCGGTATATCCTTTCTTGTATGTACTAACTTTATGATTAATTTAATTTAAATTATCCTCAAAAGTCGCATCTTCAAATGTTGTGCTATGTTTTTATTTTATTTGTTAAAAATCATTTAAATTTGGACGTAATCGAAAAAATCTTATGAAATTCAATCCACAACTCGCAATTATACTTTTATTCGCAACCTCAATCCAAACCAAATTTAAAACACTCCACAATTTTACTACAAGTTTTTGAATAAATCTTAAAAAATTTCTTTTCAAATGACTGAATACGAATATTTTTGAAAAACTTCGTTACAATTTTGTGATTTTCCTGAGTCTTTATCTCGGCCTATTGTTGAGACCGCGTCTAATTTTTGTTTTATTCTATTCAACTTGATTGAGCTCTTTCGAAAGACAATATACTACAATTCGGCCTAGTTGATGCCCGCTTGCAAATAAAAAAAGAGAGGAGTCCCCCAACATTAATTTAATTTTTAAGTTTTTATTGTAAATATTTTTGGTAATCTTTTTTATTTTAAAGAATTTATTTTCCTTCTAATCGATTTTTCGCGCTATTTTTCTTTTATTTTTGAATGAAAAATTAATAAAAAAAATTATTTTTATTTATTTATTTCTTTGTTTGTCTTTAAATTTATTAAATATGTAAATAATTTTTAAATCTATTTTCTCAAAAAAACTTTTTATTAAATAAATATTTCAGTCATTTTTTGTCTATTTACATTAATAAAAAAATGTTTTTAAAAAATAATAATTTATTTTTAATTTCTCTAATTCTTTTATTTTTAAATTTATTTATTTATTTTGATATTTTCTCTAAAAAAATTAAAATAAATTTTGAAAATGATGGAAATTTTAATTTTGATGATGAAGGAATAAATAAAGCTTTAATTAGTGGAATTGAAGCAATTAAATATATGTATGATTCTCAATTGGGGAAAGCTGAGGTTTTAAAAAATTAAATTTAAATTAAAAGTAAAAATAATTAGGGAAAGAATTAAATAATTTAAATAAATATTTTGTTATTTTTATTTATTTTTTTGATGGTTAATATGTAATTATTATTCAACCTCTCGTTATAGGAGGTGGAAGGGGAATGGAAGTGGGCAATTTTTTGAGAGATGGTAATTATCCAAATACATACATAAGCTAATTAGTAAAATCAACCTTGTGGCTACTCATAGTAAATAAATAAAATCCCCTTTTTCCAATTCCTTATACATAACTTTAAAATCAAAATTCCCATTTTTGTCTAAACAACATTTTTTAAAGGTTTCAGATATTGTTGAAAATGTAGAAAATAATAATTTAATTAAAAAATGTCCATCAAAATATTTTTACAAATCAAATATTTTAATTAATAAAATTAATGGAAAATTTACAAAAAATGAAGATTTTTATTTATTTTCTGCATATTTTGATAAAAGAAATTTAAATAAAATTCGAATAATTAGTTCTTCATTTAAAAATATTAATTTAATTAAAAATAATAAATATTATTGCCATTTTCATCAATTTAATAAAAATATTAAAAAAGGTTTGGATAATTCTTAAAAATATTTTTTGGGGAATAGAAAATGTTGAGAATAATTTAATTAAAAAATTTTTTAATAAAAGAGAGATGATCATATTGAAAGTTGATGAAAATAAATTTAAAAAAAAATAAAAAAATATTTGGAATTTTATACCAAAAATCTTTTTTGTTTTCCAAATTTCAAATGCAGTCAGAACTCCCTTATGTGTGAACCCTTGGGGCGAAAAAATTATACAACATATGAAAGAATCGCTTAGGCAGATCCTCCCACCAATCAAATTAAAAAAAATTATTTATGAAAACTCTGTGATCCTTAGATAATATTAAATATGTAAAATAGTGTTTAAATAAAAATTATTAAATTTTTACAATTCTCTGGACATTAAGTCAGATTTTTGACAAAAATATTTAATTTAAAAATACTTCAAAAACTAATTAATATTAATTAATTATAGACGGTTATTGGGCAAATAATATAATTGTCGAAGCTAATATTCAATGGATATGGCAAAGAGCCTGGGATCCTAGAAATGAATTTTATAATACTTTTATTATTACTTGTCCTAAAGTTTATGAAGATTTTGAGGTTTAATAGGATAATTTTATTTAAAAAATAATTAAAATTAGAAGACTTCAGCAGTTTATATTTCAAAAAATAATTTTTGTATTTTGCCTGATTCGAAAATTAATTTTATTGAAATAAATAAAGAATTAAATAATTATTTATTAAAAGAAGAAAGTGTTGTTGGAATTAAACCTGAAGATATAAAGTAAGGAATATTTGATTAAAAAGTTAAAAAAAGGAAAATTTAAAAAGAAAAATAGAAATTAGGTAGATGTGGAAAATTTTAAAATAAATTTTGAAAATGATGGAAATCTTAACAGTCTAATAATTAAAGTGAAAGACTGGAAACTTTTCTAAATTTAAAAATTGATGAGATAATTTCCTTTAAAGATTACTCAAGAGGAATTTCTCTCCTTTTAAATTTCATGTTGTTTTTAAATTGGTAATGAAAAAAGATTTTTTTGTTTTTATTTTTCAAAATTTAGATAAGTTTAAAGTTTCTACAACTTTGAGATTAATAATAAACAAAAATGTAAGATTAATAGTCGAGCTTTGAGTATTATAATCACATTCAATTAGTGTTTATCAAATTTTTTTCTTAACATTTTAAAGGTAAAATAATCTATTTCACTAATATTTATTCTTCTTCTTTTTTTATATTCCAATTTAATTAATTTAAAATAAAGTAATTCAAAATTTAATTAATTTAGAATAGCAGTTTGCACTAAAGGTCTCTCATTTTTAAATGAATCAGAATTATCTAGACGATGGATGGCTGAATGGATTGAATTACAGAGAGCTTTAGGTGCTTCGTCCATTGGTGTTTATATTTATTGGGTACCTGATAGTGTCCGAAAATTACTTGAAAAAATGTCTGATAGAAAAAGAGTTGATTTGGTAATGAAAAGATTTTTTTTGTTTTTAGTTTAAAAATTTAGATAAATTTGGAATTACCCGGAAATTCACCAAATCATCCAATGAGGTAAATATTAGTTATATATTAAAAACAAATATAACTATACCGTATTTACTCTAGTAATTCCCCAGGGGGATTATTGTTTCAACCCATCGCTAGGGTGGGGAATTAATAGAGGCTGGGGGATTATTGTTTCAACCCATCTCTAGGGTGGGGAATTGTTTTGAAGATTGAATGTACGCCGTTAAATTTTGGCGTTCTGAACGTCTTTTTCCTTCTAATGCTGTCTTCATTTTTTCAGAGATTTTCATATGTTATTCGCACGCGGGTTAATTTCTACTTTTTCAGCGCGATTCGCGATTTCTCTTTTAGAAAAATGGCGACAGATGCTTGACGACAGATTTGACGACATGACGACAGATTCAATTGCTTCAGGCAATTGAATGTGCACGGACTTTCAATTACTTCTGCTGCAAAGAAATTCGGGGTTGGATAGAAAAAGCATCAGAGATTCGAGCGTTTTTAGTTGAAAGCGGATGATTGTTTGGGACACATTTGCAAGCCATAAGAGTTAAGCAACGGCAAAAGTCATGAGAGAGTTGAAGTTAGAGCCTGCATTTGTTCCTGGCGGCATTTGTTCCTTCCTGCATTTGTTCCTGGCAGTATGTGCAGGCATGCTCATTTCATAAGCATACTTTCAACTCCACTAGATGGTTCAGAATCAGATGGTCCTATCGGCGAAAGAGGTCTTATTTAATTTTTTTTTAAATTTATTTATATAACCCAAAGGTTTTGTTGTTTTGTGTGAAATGCGTGCAATTTATAAAGGAGGAAATGGGCGCAACGAGCAATCGCACATCTTTGACTGTGATTTAAATCACGATGCGATAGGGGAAAACTATTTGTTTTTTGATATTGATTGATTTGTTTACTATGTTGTTAATGATTTTTTGATTATTAATATTGTTTTAATAAATTTACGGACTGGGGGATTATTGTTCCAACCAATCACTAGGGTGGGGAATTAATAGAGACTGGGGAATTAATAGAGGCTGGGGGATTATTGTTTCAACCCATCTCTAGGGTGGGGAATTAATAGAGACTGGGGAATTAATAGAGTAAATACGGTATTTAATTTTAAGCCAACAGAATTTTATTTTGAGAAATAGACAGCAAAAACGACGTCATGAATTAATTCCAATAAATGATTGTTTTTATAGGTAATTAAAAATTTAAAAATAGGTTTGTCGGTTTCAAACCGATCCGAACCGAAAAACCGAAGATTTTCGGTTCAGTTTCGGTTAACCGAAGGTCCACCACTTGGAATTCTGAAATTCTCAAAATTTTCGCCTGCGGCGCTGAAAAAGGGTCATAAAACTGAAGAACACTGCTGCGAATTCGGGACCTTGGGCTGCCTTTTTATTAATTTCAAACAATAATTTCCTCACTGTTTCCAAACAACTCATTTATTTATTAGATATTCCTCTACTCATCATTTCGTTTTGGTAATAGATACAGACGAAATAGTTGTTCCATTATTACACAAGAATTGGCAAGAAATGCTTTTTAGTATTTTAAATGATGGAAAATGGAATTCAGAACCTTCATCTATTTCAATTAGAAATGTTTTTGTTTTTACTCAAAATTCAACTGAAAAAGAGAAAAGTGTTTTTAATGAAAGTAAAAGATCTAAAGTTATTCAAGAAAGAGATCAGTATGGAAAAAGTTTTATAAAGTATGTTGTTAAAGGTTTTTGATAAGGGAGGAGGATAATAAATTCTCTCAAATTTTATAATTGTTAATAGTCTAATAATTAAAGTGAAAGACCGAAAATCTTTCTAAATTTAAAAATATAAATGATAATGATCTCATTTAAAAATCACTCACGAGGAATTTCTCTCATTTTAAATTCTATGTTCTTCTAAAAAATATAAACTTTCTTTTTTTAGTACTCGAAGTGTTATAAGTGTTTTTAATCATTTTGGGCTACACAGAATTAATTCAAATGTTTCAAAGACTTTTCATGTTCCTACTAATATTGCATTAAAATATCACTGGAAAAGTAAATGTCCAAAATTGGAATTAGGCAAAGAAATATGTCAGAATGTTGAAAATAATTTGATAGAAGGTGAAGATATTTTGGAAAAATTGAGAGAAAGGATTGAAAAAAACATAGAAAAATATTTTTGAATTAATTAATTTAGTAATTATTTTGTGTAAAATAACTTTAATATTTCTAAGGAGATTTCATTTGTGCTTTTAATTCAAACTTTTATAAACTTTATTAGATTTATAGAGCCAATGGTCAAAAACATAATATGTAGGTATCGGTTTTTGATTTTTGTGTCAGATAAGTCAAAATGGTGTCCGGAAATTTGGGCCCCGGAAAATTTGAAAAATTTTAAAAATGAAAAGAAATCAGTTGGTTGCAAGATGCTCAAAGTTTGGATTAGAGATGGCTGATCCTGAAAATCTACGGATACCCAGAAATTCTTCTCAATTTTTTATTCATTTTTTTCTACAATGTTCACACATATTACTGGTAGGGTTAGGGTTTCATTATCAAATTCAACTGAATCGGATCAAACAATTGCATAAACTCATAGTATGCTTATAACGAATGGGTTCGAGTACTCACCCAGACCAACTGGCCGAAGCCCCAAACTCAGAAACTCGAATTTGCTCAGTAGATAGAGATACGGAGTTATAAAGATGGTAACACATAAAAAACATAACCCCAGAACACGAATTCGCTCCCTAGATAGAATTCCCTCCGTAGTTACCGCATGCCCAATCCTGTTTAGTTTATTAAATTAAAATTTGTTTTTTTTCTATTTTTAAATTGTCTATTTTTCCTTAGAAATTAACTTTTTGCTTAGAGCCTAAAATTCATCCTGAGCTCAAATTTTTGCGACTCATATCAGACAAAACTCAGACACAAAACTCAGATTTTGCGACTCCGACAATCTTGGTTATATAGATAGGAGTAAAGTAGAGTTTCTACATGGATTTGGGTCGTGTTTCAAGACTAAAACCCCGAATATTTGATCGAGAATTGACTTAAAAATCAAATACATATTTTATAAAATACCATTTTTGTAAAAAATAAAATCATATCATTTTTCTATAGTGAGTAAACGTTTCATAAAATAAATTTTTGTTTGAGAAGACACAATGCCACATATTAATAAAAAAATTCTTTAAAAAAGCTTTCCATCAAAATTAATAAAAATCATCTTGATATTAACAACGACAATAAAAATAATAAAATTTAATGAAAAATTAGGGAAAAGATTGTTTACAACATTGTTAATTTAAAAAACATCTTATATCGAATATTAGGATTCACGTGAAAAATAAACATATACGTATGCCACATATACTTCCAACAATAAAATTAAGATAATTTTTTGTAATTTAGTGATAAATATTTCGTGGCAAATATAAAAATTATTTCTTAATTCCGTATATTTAAGCAGAGGTAAATTGTAGAGAAACATCAAACACATTTAACACATAAACTTGTGTTAAGTAAAAGATAATATGAAAATAATAACTCTAATTCCGATCTTATTCTCATTAATAAATTCGGTAGTTGGACAAACAACATGCGTAGCACCGACAACCCCTCCAGTTTGTTACTGTACATGTGAATCGACACCTGGAGTGTCATCGACAGCACCAACAACAACAGTTGGACCGACAGGAACAACAACAACTGGCACACCACTAACTACTGGGCAATCTACACCAGCACCAACAGGCACTACCGGTTCATCACCTGGACCAACAACTGGTAACCCAACTGTAAGCCCTGGACCATCTACATCAGCACCAACAGGCACACCCGGACCATCTACACCAGCACCAACAGGAACTCCTGAAGCTACAACCGCACCTACAGGCACTCCTGGACCATCTACACCAGCTCCAACAGGCACACCCGGACCATCTACACCAGCTCCAACAGGCACACCCGGACCATCTACACCAGCACCAACAGGCACACCCGGACCATCAACACCAGCACCAACAGGAACTCCTGAAGCTACAACCGCACCAACAGGAACTCCTGGACCGTCTACACCAGCACCAACAGGAACTCCTGAAGCTACAACCGTCCCTACAGGCACACCTGGACCATCTTCACCAGCACCAACAGGCACTACCGGTTCATCACCTGGACCATCAACTGGTAACCCAACTGTAAGCCCTGGACCATCTACATCAGCACCAACAGGCACACCCGGACCATCTACACCAGCACCAACAGGCACACCCGGACCATCAACTCCAGCACCAACAGGAACTCCTGAAGCTACAACCGCACCTACAGGCACTCCTGGACCATCTACACCAGCTCCAACAGGAACTCCTGGACCGTCTATACCAGCACCAACAGGAACTCCTGAAGCTACAACCGTCCCTACAGGCACACCTGGACCATCTACATCAGCACCAACAGGCACGCCTGGACCATCTACACCAGCACCAACAGGCACTACCGGTTCATCACCTGGACCAACAACTGGTAACCCAACTGTAAGCCCTGGACCATCTACATCAGCACCAACAGGCACTCCCGGACCATCTACACCAACTCCAACAGGAACTCCTGAAGCTACAACCGCACCTACAGGCACACCCGGACCATCTACACCAACTCCAACAGGAACTCCCGAAGCTACAACCGCACCTACAGGCACACCCGGACCATCTACACCAGCTCCAACCGGAACACCCGGACCATGTACAACATCACCAACAGGTGCACCCGGACCGTCTACACCAGCACCAACAGGATATCCTGAAGCTACAACCACACCTACATGCACACCTGGACCATCTACACCAGCACCAACAGGCACGCCTGGCCCAACAGGAACTTCTGAAGCTACAACCGCACCTACAGGCACTCCCGAATCTACACCTGGACCAACAACTGGTAACCCAACTGTAAGCCCTGGACCATCTACATCAGCACCAACTGGCACACCCGGACCATCTACACCAGCACCAACAGGCACACCCGGACCATCAACACCAGCACCAACAGGAACTCCTGAAGCT